AAGCCCATGCTCTATTGAGCAATTTTATTTATTAATCTATTTATTATTTTGTTTTATATTATTATTATTTTATTTATTTATTTATTTATTTATTTATTTATTTATTTATTTATTTATTTATTTATTTATTTTTAATGTAGCAGTGTGTCAGAGAGAAATGGGTGTTTGTGAGAGAGAATGCAGAGTCAAGATGTTTGTTTTATTGTTTGTGTATAATTAAGCTTTTATGAATTAGTTTTTACTGAAAGCAGTCAATCATAGTGGGTTTGATAATCCAACACTGGCAAGTGTCCTTAAAACTAGGCTGGTTGGTTTCCACCTGCCAGTGCCCTTCCTTCAGGCTATTAAGTTCAAATGTTGTCATCTGTTCTGTTCATTTTTTATGATCCTGGCTGCTGCAATGGAAGTCACATATATCTTTATGCCCTTGTCAAATTTATCCACACCAAGTTCCTTGGTTGTCAAAATGTGCTGGTTTACCTGTATTGACCTACATATACCCCCAGGGGCAAGTAAATAAGACTGACTAAATATTTTTTTACACTAATAAAGATGCTTTTGTCAACAGCCCCTTAGGGATGACTTAAAGAAGGACATATTACAACTATATATACTGAAGTGACAGTAGTAAATGTAACGAGACTGATATTTGAACATTTTATGTTATTTGACTTGTCCACATTATTTCATGCCAGGGAACTGGTTAATAAATGTTGTATGTTTAAGATAGGAGTCCATGCAGGAGAAGTGGCAATGAATAAGGGCATGTCAACATTGAAATCTGTATTTTAGCATACTGATCATACAGTTTGATGTTTGGGGAAGTTCAGCTTATTTATCTGATTTACGTAGTTTGAGCTCACTCTCTGGCAGAGCTGAGGGCAAGTGAACAAAATGTTTTCGCCAAGAAATCGGAGACGATTGTGGTAATCTGATTTAAGATTATGCTCATTTACCAATTGTTGTTGTTGTTACCAATGTGGTTATATAACATCTCTTGTGGATTAGGTTGATATTGTGCACCCTTGCATTTAAGTTTGTCTAATTGTCATAGCATAAATTTTTGTATTCTTTAGATATGTTGCTATTGTTATTTTCTTACCTTCTCAAACTTTTCTTAAATACACTTAGACTAACAGTTCTTCATTGATTAAATCTGATGTAAGTTTTAAATACTGGGATACGGTACTGTACACACAGTACATTTCCATGGGTTGTCTAGTTATATGCTCTTGGTATCATTTTAGTTCTTACCTGTGATTTATTGCCATGATCAGGGCATACATTAACATGTTAAAAAGTAGGGCAATTCACCTGAGAAAGAAGTGGTTGATTGGAGTGTTTATATTTTTTTATCATGCAGTAGGGATTGGTTTCACATATAGCCTTCATAAGCCACTTAATTCTCACTACTAGGTCCATTCACAAGATCTCCTTTTCAAGTGATTTTTCACAAAATTCTAGCAACTTACACAGCAAAGGTAATAACTTATTAATTTAGCTAGTGATTGTTATAATTTTATTAATTTGGTAGTAGGGTATTTTGGTTTAACTTGCGTAACTTGCGTTTCACAGAAGTGTTTTTGAATATTACAGAACTATTTAATATTTGTAGTTCTAAGTGTATTACTTTTTTTTTTTTTTTTGATATGTACGTGTTCCTGTGTTTGTGTTCACCTGACATTTGTCTGTACCTGTTTACAGGTAAATCTGATCAGACCCAGTTTCTAGAAGGGCATACCTGAAGTTATGCACTCGAGTACGTAAATCCAATCGGTGGGAGACCAATTGGTATGATATGTTCTCTTGTTGCGACATTTACACCGGAGCGTGATTCAAGGATGATTTTCATTTACTTAATATTTCTCTGACGTAGTAGACGTGCCCTTCAGTTATTCTGTTTTTTATGTTGCGTTTTAGCTGAAAAACGGCACTTTTCTTTTGTGTTATCCTAGATGAATGTGTTTGCTGACAATCCGTCTGGCAGGCAATGTTTTACATGCCTTAGAGCTGTAATTAGAGACAGAAACCTTTCTTGTATGCATCTGTGGATGTTTTGCAAAGAGCTATTAGTCAAACCAGTGCTATTATTCAATGTTCATGTTGTATAGGAACCACCTCAACTGCTAGGAGTGGGGTTGCTACTTGCTGAATGTCATTATCAGTAGCCCTTGAATATCAGTTGATACTCTGTTGAAGCAAACCTCAAAGAAGACCAGGTGGAAGTATAAAACATCCTTGCCCTTTCCGATGATGTTGCCAGCGTGTTCCAACAGTTTTCATGTGAACTAATAAGTTGGAATTGGTGGTTGATATATATTGAGAAGAAAGGAAAGAAAAATTCACTGACATAAACTTTTATCATATATAATGCCGAAGTTTCATATAAGAATAAGAACTAACCCTAGAGGAGGGGTTGTACCTTCGCCAGGGAAATCAGCACCACTACCTATCCCAGGAACAGTGAAAAAATCCAATTTCCAGGAGAGTAATGTACGTGAACCGGGTTACAGTCGTGGAAAAGTCTGTGTAAGGCAAGGGAGGCAGCATCCAAAGTCAGTAGATATACATATAATTCCTGCTCGGAACAGGTAAATAAATCTTGTCAGTAAGGATGTATCCCCAGGAGATGATTAGTTATTGATATTGTGTTCTTCCAGGTGTCTGATTTTATTGACTAAAGCCCAGTGCTCTTTAATAACCATGCTTTTCAGCAATACTCTATGCAATTACCACATATTGGATTTTAGAGGTACATGTACTATTCGATCCTTGTGTTTTTACAATTTTCTTTACATTTTGCTGAACTTCCATGGATAATTTCATTTTTCTAAAATGTATACAAAGTATTGTGAATGGAGATTACTTGGAAATAACCCGACTTTCCTAAATAACACTTGTGGTTTCTGCAAATATATGTGGTAAAGATTAGGTTAGATTAGGTTGGATTTTGCTCTTAAAACCAGACAACTCGGTGAACAACAGTTATTTATATGTTTTAAATAAAAGTGCTGAATTGTGACAAAGGCTACCGGTTGTTGTCAGTGGTAAGAATCGTTTCTGCTGTTTGATGAATATGGTCAACAATTTAGTTCGGACTTTCACAGCAAAGAACTGTAATTGTTTTTCAGACAAAACTAAAAACTGGTCTGTTTTGTGTACATGGCTTTAGCTTGTTTTCAAGCACATTGTCTCAGGGGGCTAAGGAACCACATGCTACCGGGCATATCAGTTCACGAGATGACAAAAGGAACAAATTTCTTCAGTCGGTTGTTAATTCCAGTTATTTAGAAAGACATACATTCACACTGTATAAGTATAATGTACATTTGTGCACATACTCAAGGGAATCATAACACAGAAAGAAAGCATTATACATTTTAGTATCCTATTCATAAAGCTGCCTTATTGATTGGAAAAAACGCTTAAAAAATGAAAAGTCATGAAGTCACCTGCTGGTTTACTACTGATTACAGATGATGTATGAGCCAATTAAACTCAGTGTTATCTGCTAAAGAAAAAGAAAAAATGATTTTTGAATACCTAATTGTATTGATTCATGGATTAAAACAGCACAAACTTATTTGGCAGCTGGCTCTTGACGTCAGCTGGCTGTTGTACAGAAGTCCATGAATTCTCATATTTCACAAATTGCGTTGAGTTTCTTCTGCTACATGTACTAGTACATGTGCTTCAAATTCCCATGGTATTTTACTGTTCTAGTAGCATCATTGGGAATTTTTTTATAAATGATAATAAATGATTGCAGACTGATACCCACACTTATAATATAAGATTTGATATTGAAGCCCATGGCAATATATTTCTACCAAAAGGGAAAGGGAACAGTAACACTGTAATTACCCAGTATAAGGTTGTATCATAAATGAGTCAGGTCCTTAATTTTAGCGTACGTAAGTAATCTACAAGAAGATGCGCTACTGTACATTAGGTTATTACATTTCAATTTCCTTTACTTGAATGTACATGTATTGTCATGTTTATTTGCAGACAGTTATTGATAGGTGGCAGAATAAGCACCCTTATAATAGGCAATATATAACATTTTGTATCATTATTACCCCCATTGAGATGGAGTGCTCCCTGGTTATAATTTTAACACAATTACGTACCATGATAAGTTTTTCCAAAAAAGTGATTTTATTATATTTTATTTATCCAGATGAGGTGGCAAGACAATTTAGTATTTACTGGTAAAGTAATGAAACAGATAAATATTTGAAAGTGTAAAAATTGAATTTTCAAGAATAGCTGAAAGAAAAAAGTATTTCAATTTTTTTCATAATTGTGATAATGTCAGAACCTCATGTAACACAACATTACAAGATTCTTGAACAGTTTTAGAATGGGCATTTGTAATTTACCAAAATAAGAAAGAAAAAAATAAAACTGTTCATGTACTAAGGAACCACCTCTTATTCATCTCTCACTAATGCTTAAAATTTCCACCTCTGTTGTAAAATTTAACCAACATTTTGAAGGTTTGTTTAATTAGCCATGTCTTGACGTCAACAGGTAGGACATTGGGATTGGTAGCTGATAATTAACCCCAATCTCTGTAGTATTTTTGGCTGCAGTTTTTACCTAGCCACAGTTCTGTAGTTGAAACTATTCAATGTGATTGTATCTATAATTCCAGAGCAACTGTATTTCTAATAAACCCACCTCAGAACTTTGTTCTATATTACAGTTAACTCCTTACTGTGTTCCTGACTAGATGTTTGCATTTGAAATTAACACATTCAAACACAGCAGCTAGATAACTAGCCTAATTTCCTTGGTATTATGGCCTGCAAATTTATGCAGTGTATGTGACTGAAAAGTTCTTATGATCTTTTACTAGTTGAAGTAAATCCTATTGGAGGAACATACTCTGAGTACCTGACCAACAGGGAGAAAAAACATGTACTAGTACACTATTGATATTGTATTGGATCCTACTTAACACATGTATTTATCTTCCTGTATTTTATTTGCAGCTTTGATGTTGAAAATGGTGCTTCCCCCAACCGTAGCCCCCTGGATGCAGCCAGCCCATCCTCCGGACTGGTACTTCAAAACCTTCCTCAACAGCGCAGAGAGTCCTTTCTCTACAGATCTGACAGCGATTTTGATCTCTCGCCCAAGTCTCTGTCTCGAAATTCTTCCCTTACAAGTGAACTGTAAGTACATGTTTGTTTTCCATGTATGTTTATTCTCAAATTGTGACTGGCTCACCATTTTGCTCTGACATCCAGTACCAACCTGTTAATGTTTCTTTTTATGTAAAGCAAGACAAAAAAGTTTACAGTATTATAGACATAAAACAATAATCTACAACTGTCAAAAGAGAGGTGGGTGATCTTGTTATTTACCAATGCAAAGGAGGTCAATGAAAAATGCATTGATTTTTAATGCATGATTTGATAGCCATGTGGCTTACATGATGAAACTGATCTTGTTCATACAGATGCTTACAGGTTGGTTACTTCATGCAGGTAATTGGCATAGTTGTTACATTTATCTCGCTGTCACAATTTGGGAATACAGAAATGTGCTGTCTCACCTAACACATTTGGCCTGTAAAGGATATTTGAAGTCCCGACAGTACAAAAATTGCAAAACTGGGTAATTTTTGGACAAGCTCATGCAACTATAGACATTTTGGTGGAAGTATATGAAACATGATTCTGTGATCAAAAGTGCCCCTCCTCCTCCACTCCAGAGCAATCAGTGATGTTTGCAACTAATATGCAAGAACCTGTATTTGTATGTTCATTTAAAATGCTGTTATCACAGGCTTTGTCTTTCGCCGTAGTCATATATCTTAATTATACAATTGTGTGTATACAATGCATGTGTGTGTGTGACTTTTACTTATTTGATAAGATATGTTATTTTTTTATCAGATTATCCTAGATTTCCACCTGTATTACATGTAGATGTTTTTATACAATGGTTGTGATTAAATAATAACATTAAGAGTAAACTCGATCATAATCAGCAACATCATGATTATGCATCTTATTCATTGGGTGTTAGATATTACACAAAAATAGGTGTAAAAAGCCTCCTGCTGCCCAGTTTCTGTCGAAAGTCATGCTATATCTTAATGTTTGTACTCTACTGATATGCAGAGATAGCTTTTTGGTACCACTTCTCTTATTGCCAATCAGTTCAGTGAACACTGCAGTTGATAAAGCCAAATTTTGTCAAAGACTTGTCTTTGTGGTAAGCTAGGGTGTTTTTCAAGACACAAGAAGAAAAGTGCTACATATGTACCAGTGGGGTAGAGATTTTTTTACAAGAGCTGGTATGACATATTTGGTGAATGCTTTTTTCCTAATAGTCAATGTTAACTTCATCTGGGTCATTCATTCAAAGCACTATTTCAAAACTTGTGTTGGGAATTTTTTTTCAAAATATTGATAGGTATGAAATTTGAATATCATACCTGTCTCACCATTGTGAATGCCATCTAGTATATATCAGTATTCATTTGCCATTTCTTAGTGCTCTATAAAGTATTTTTGGAATTAAAAAAAGTTGTTAAATTAAATGTAATAGATAGGTGTAATAAAACTTTTCTAAAACTTGATCTAGATTTGCTTAATAGTTAAAAAGTAGGCCCTTAGGTTTTTACTATTCATCCAGTTCAGACATGAGCTTTTTTTACAGAATTGCAGAATTCCAATATTTTTAATTCAATTATGGTAGGACCTAAGGCTTTCCTTGGACCCCAGCAGGTTAAGTATTTTGCACCACAATAAATGTTCATAGTTTTTTTTAACCCAGTCTAGCTCATGTCTGCTTTGCTGTTAGAGATCAATAGAGGGTGGAGTTCTGCAGGAGACATGCCAGATTGATTTTCCTACTAGATGGCAGCAGTGTGCAGGATTATTCACAGTCCAAAAAATAAATCTGTTTTTATTTCCACTAGGGAACATTCAGTAGAATTAATATAAAAATGGCCAAAAAATATGCCTGGATAACTGCTAGTGTCTTTCATGCACTTGCATTTGTGTGTCCATGCAAAACAATATCTGATAGATATGAGACTAATTTTCACCACTTAAGGCCAGCTACCCAATAGAATGTTCCCTTTCCTATGTTTAATATAGTCAACGACTTGTAAAAATTGTTTGCTTGGTTATTCATCTTAAGGCAGATCCAGTACTTTTTAAGGCAGAGCCAAATCTTCTTTTTTTTTTTCGAAATTAAATCTGAATAATTTACAGGGAACAAATTGATTCATCTTATACATAAAGTTATGCAGAAATTGCTTTTGCCATCTGCGTTGTCACTGTGGAAAATGTGGCATGTTCCTAAACAAAGAAGATGCTTTTTTCCTAAATTAAATCTAAATTATTTAATAAAAAACAACTTTTCCATTTTATACATGAACTAATGCAGAAAACCAATCTCATTCCTCATACATCATTTGTATAAGACTTGTAGTATTGCAACAAAGCATATGTAATAGTACAGGTAAGAAAGGAAACAATTGCACTGGATTGCTTTTTTTTTTCATTTTTGATTTTCAATTAAGCAATTGATAATGCATCAGGTGCAATTTTTTTTCTAATCATCACTCAAAAACCACCAACTTAGAGTAACAATGTGGGTGCTTTCCAATGCATGAAATTATAATGGATTTTGTTAGAAGTAACAATGTTTAAGAGTAGCAGTTAGGGATGTTAAGAGATGACTCTTTTTGCAGCCCTTGTAGAATTATCAGGTGTCACTGTGAAATTGATGAACAACTTAGATTTATCAAGTTGCCCAAAGTTGGTTAAGTTGTACCCAAGTTAAATTAGTCCTCTCCCCCCCCACCTCCCCGCTCCTCTTTGGAGCCTGCATAAAAAAATTCACAATGTCTAAGTTCACATATTGGGGATTTTTACTAATTTATACATTGGCATAATTAAGACATTTTTGTTATTGAATTATAGCAAAGGATTATTTTGTTTTCACAAATAAGTTGTATGTAGAGTGCATTTACACCAATTTTAGCAAACCTTTTCTCAGTAAAATGAACTTCTGTTTTCTTCACTTACCATAAAGATGGACCAGAAATCTTGAATTGTTCTGATTTATGATACAAAGAAGATGATCCTATGAGTGAAAAATATTTGAATTGTGATGAAAATGTGAAGAATCTTGACAATTCCTGACACACATTGAGCTATTAGGTCGATGACCTTTATGCAGTGCACTAGTTAAACTATATTGATTTTAGATTATCTGGGAAATGATCAGATAAGTCATATATGTAAACATGTTTATTGTTATGCCTTTTGTCAGTATTTTGCACAGATGATAATTATGTTGAGCAGCCCCATATAAACTGTTTGCATTAGAGAAAAATTACATCCTTGCTAGAAAGAAAGAGAGATGGTAAATGAAGTTTACAGTAGCCCCAGTTCCAGCAGTTCTGAATGAAGAAGACTTAAATATGTGGAGGAAAAGGTATTGTTTTACTTCCTTTGTGAAATCTGCACAGTGAAGCTCTTTTCTTAGTATTAACTCATATCTGTTGTATGGTTTAAATATTGCAATCTTGTTTTTTTTAAGTGTAGATTCTTTTGAAGGGAGGGTCCTGCCACTATAGTATGTAGATATACATCAGATATGTGGTTTGTTTTGATAAGTACTACAGTAGTAAATATGAAAAAATAAGGTGTTAGAAAAAAATGATATCTCTAGGTGATAGAGAATATGAATGGGATTATGTTGACATCATGAGAATGAATGGCATGTTGTTATTTTTTTTATTAGGGGAGGGGGTGGTTTGTGCACATATCAGAACTTTTTAGATATATCATGAAGAGTGTGATGTGTATAATGGAGAAAGGGGAGGGGGGGGGGGAGCACGTGCCTGATAGCACTTACATAGGGTATTTGTGGTCAGAAAGATCATGCTGAAGGTTCATCTTTACAAATGACACCAATAACGGAACTGATTTGTGTGATAAGGTTGTAACAGTTCAGTGTCTCTGGATAGAGATGTGCATCTGGTGAAGGTGTGGGCATTCAAGACCCAATTTATCATCAATCTGAAAGTAACTGTTGCCACTAGGAGGAGATTTGTCAGATAACTACTTCCTTCGACCAGCTTGTGTCCTGTGTCGCCCAAGGACAGTTCCAGGTTAAATGAGGCGTGGACTGTCCCCTCCACCCTCTGGGCGGGCCCTGGTGCCATAATGTGGAAGAAAACATTAAGATATATACTAGATCAGGATAAAGTTAGTTTAGTTGAAGGAGCTCACCGAAGAGGACTGTTTTCCAGTGGCCTTCAGCTGGCTAATTGTATGGTGAGCCTGCTTTTTAATCGTTAGTAATTTTTAAAAGGTATCATACTTTTTTTTATCACATTTACCATGTTTACTTGGGGGCTGTATCAGTGTAATGAAATCATAGAAAATGCTTTGTCTTAAAATGTCGACAATATCAAAGTGAAGAAAAGTAAAATTAATAATATATAAATAAATAATGATAATAAAATAACAATAAAGAAAATAATGATAAGAAAGCAGCAATTTTTTATTATCAGTCAGTAGGATGATAATCAACTTAAGTTTTAAAAGGCAAAATGAGTATAATCCTGTGTATAAAGTTCTGCATGCATGTTAGAAAAGAGAGAAAGCAATTTTTAATTAAAATATTTCAAAAATAAATATAAATGCAGTTTAAATACAGATCGTTAAAAGTGATATCAACCTCACACATCTTCATACAAATTGCCCTGGAAAGGGTTACATTTCGAGATTTGAATAGACAATTAACAAGTTAGGCTGATATTGTAGCGAACAGGATATTCATCATGCAAGAATTGAACTGAACTTTTGAAAATCAATTATCTGTTCAGTATTCATGGCAATATGTCCTGATAACAGAAGTATTGTTAAGAAAACAAGACGGCTACATTGTGCAGGGAATGTGTATGGATTTTCCTCATTCGAGATCTCCAGTTTGAAGTAAATTTAATCCACTGACATTATTTCAATTAAATTCTAATTGCAGTGATAGACATTGCATGTAATGACACTTATGTTTAAGATTGCTATTTTTATTTTCTGATAAATTTATTTACAAAAAAATGATACTAGGAGACAGCTTCATCCAGCTTCTTCACTTTGTAATTGGACGAACATTAACAAATACCTTCGTTAACATGCATCAT